TAATATATGTAAACATGGATGCAAATTAACCAGCCAGTGCCATTAATTGGGCTTCTGAGTGGCATGTTGTGCTGCTTTGTAGCGTATCAGCAGAGGGGTGCACGGTCTGCTGGCTCAGTGTTTCAGTCTGTTCATTCAAACACCGCATATGAAATCTCAAAGACCTTGCAGTGATTGCGCAACACGTTTGACAGGTAACATGGATTCACGAAACAATACAGCTTACGGCGCACGCTTAGAATAAATTTGCGTGCCCCCGTTACCCCCGCTTCGTTCAACAGCGCTATGATCCGGGTTGTGTTTTTTTCTTCAGGCAGCGAAGAGGGTGATCCTTCTGTCTGGGACCCCCGCCATGTCCAGACCGTCCGAGCTCTACACCCAGATTCTGGCTGTCAGACCGACGCTCTTTCCTCGCTTCCATGAGTTCGGGATGCGCTACTGCAATGCCAGACAGGTAGCTTAAGTCTGAAGAATCTTTGTCTGTTCAAGTGTGATGCTCAATGAGGTGGAGTTGTAATTGGATTCCGGCACACCTCGGAGAATATTAAAAGACTTGAAGTGTGGGATTAGCAAACATTTGTTTATCTGTCTTGCTTACAGTGTGTAGTTTGCATGTCCAGAGCAGGGCGATTGTGACAGGTCTGCTGACAAGGGCACAGTGAGATTATTAAGGTAGAATTAATGCACCATAAAGACAAGAGTGTACGGTGAAAGTTTTCAATCCGTTTATTTCATCCTTCTCTGTTGCCGCTTACATCTCTGGTGGTATTTTTCTCATAAATAAACACAAATTCTCTTTAAATTAAGAAAAAGCGTTTTGTGTATCCTACGCTGACACGCTGAGTGCATCTACTTCCTCCTAAAACAAATCTGATTTTAAGTGTTATAAATCCAGAATCATTTCTGACTAATTCCACTACCTTGCAGGCTTTCCTGGCACATTGCGGCGCATCTTGGCATGTTATTGCGGCTAACGATTAATTAGCGGAATGTGTGGCTCCATTAGTCGGAGTGTGTGTGCTGCATGACCTGCATGCGTGCATGTGTGTCCCTGTGTGCACGAGCAAGATAAACAGGACTGGGGCTGACTCAAAGAAAAACAACCTCAGAGCGCTACGAGGGCTCCAAATCTCCACAATGAACCTTTAATTTAATCTTAGTGGGATCACATAGCAAACACGCTACGTCATTTAAAGGCCACTTGTATCATTAATCATCAATGATGCATCGGTGATGAATAATTTGGAAAGTTGAGAAATCTTATCACATGTTTGATTTCTGTGACTGCAATCTTTTCAGCCTCTTTCCTGAAATGGTTAACACATTATATGTTACCTTTACCTCTCCCAACACTCCTTCCCATTTCCCCAATCCTTTTTTTTTTTTTTTTTTTTTTTAATTGCCCTCCTCTGCACACTCCCTCACAGATGGCTTGGGGCTGGGACTACTCGGGCTCTTCTAATCTCGGAGAGTTAAAGCTGCTGTTGGAGGAGTGTCTGATGCTGCGCCGTCTCAAATCTGACGTCCTCTCCCAGCTTCCCGCTAAACAGCGCAAGGTGGTCACCGTGACCATAGATGGGATTAACACCCGCACAAAAGCTGCTCTCTCGGCTGCGGCCAAGGAGCTGGCCAGGGGACATCGCAGTGTAAGTCCTAAATGTTACCTCGTGGCCTCGAAAAACTCAGAAAGTCAACGAGTTTGAATGTTTGCTTGTCAGACGTTTGGATATTTTTAATGCAAGTATTAACAAAAACCTCAGAAATCACCTTCATATTCCACCAATTGCATTATTTTTTGCAATATTGTCCCCAGAGAATTCTAATTTGAAGCAAAAAAATTCATCTCAATAGTATGTTTTGTTCAAAGTTAGGAGTGTGACTAAAAAAAAAAAGCAGAGGAGCCTTTTGATCAGATGTTTTCGCTCTGTCCTCTTCGCACACAAAGAGTCATTTCAGGCCTCCAACACACACGAGCGCTTTTAAACGACCTAGAATACTTCAGTCCAGCCTTATTTTAAGTGTTTATACAATCCGATGGGAGTGAGTTGCTGAGCTTGATTGTGCATAATCACACTGCTCCTCCGAGTAATGGCAGTCTTATCAAATCATCAAACAGAATCTCCTGTCAGTTCTTATCTCGCGCTGTTCCTGATCTCTTTTTCAGAAACTGGAAGAGAAGGAAGCCCTCCTCGTCTTTTATAACTACACAGCTGAAGCCAAGCTACAGGCCATTATGTAAGTACTGAGCCTCTAATGGTGGGGATCAGGAAGTCGAATCAGCTTAGATTTGATGAGTGCTGAGATTAAAATGCAAAATGGAATAATAAAAAAAATTGTTTTGTCAAAGCATTGTGTTGGCTCTGGATTTGAGATCACTTCAAGACTCCGCTGCACATTTCAGTGTCTTTCTTTGAAACGGTTCAGCTTTACAGTGTGTTCCTCTGCCCCTGTCAGGGAGTACATCACAGACATGCTGGAGTGTGGGAGGGAGAAGTTTCTCGTGTTTGCCCATCATAAATTAGTCCTGAATCACATCACCGCCGAACTGGGGAAAAAGGTAAGAACGATGTGCTGATGTGCCACCGTACAAAAAAGCTTTATATGCTACTGTGACATAAAAAAAAAAACACACACACACATTTTGACTTGAACTCAGATGAGATCTTTTGTGGGAGTTAAAGTCAACAAGGTCAACTCTACTAGTAGCTGCAGGGAACAAAGTGTAGGCAGCACATCTGAGCTCAGCACTACTACCAGCGCTCGTTGTTCCAGGTTCAATAAGTGTGTTTAATTAGTGTGCCGATATATTGGTAGTGATTCCAGTTGAAGGTGTTTTGATAGTTTATGGGTAGAATAGTAAAAATTTCCTTTATCGCCCCCTACAGAATGTCACTTTCATCCGTATCGACGGGAACACGCCGTCCGCTGAGCGACAGCAGCTCTGTGAAAAGTTTCAGTTCTCGACCAAGACCTGCGTGGCTGTTCTGTCCATCACTGCAGCTAATATGGGACTCACCCTGCATGCCGCGGACCTGGTGATCTTCGCAGAGCTTTTCTGGAACCCCGGGGTAAGACACCGACAGCTGTCAAGGAAAAATAGTGCATTGGTGCAAGATGGCGCCGCGGATGGCAGCCTCGGCACCGCGCTCCCGAGGAATCGTTGTTTTATTATTTATTTATTTCATTTTCTTTTAATTTTTTTTCTTTCTATAGTTATTTTACTTTATTGTTATTCTTTTCCTTGTTCATTCCTATGGTGACACCAACAGCCAGAACCAAACTCCTTGTATGTTGTGTACATACTTGGCCATTGAAGCTGATTCTGATTCTGATTTAATGGGAACTACTTTAACAGAACACAGTTTATGAATATGTTGGACTCAGTTTTTGGTCCAAGTGTTTTTGTTTAACCTGTTAGAACTCTTTTGTTTTCCTGCCCACATATTTACCATAAAGTTGAATTTGACACTCTTTGCTCGAACCTTGTAGGTAGTTGTTTTTGACTGGGAAAAACAAAAAAAAAAGTCATATCTGGTAAGCCTATTTTAAGCTACCTGCAAGCATCAAAGGACAGGCAGAGAACATTAGAGGAGCTGTTGAAGAGAGTAAAACGTTTACTGGCTTAAGATATTTTTCTCTGGAGTTGAAGACCTAAACTTGGCTTAAGGATTAGTGAAAAAAAAAACTTCTTCAGGTGGCAATAAACAGAATACATACTGATGTTCTGTGTCTTTGGGGCACGAAAGCCTGCAGTGTTTGCTCAGACACTCCGATTTGTGTTTCGATGCTCGTCATCTAATGGCAACAGAAATCGATCAATTCTGCTTCAAAAATCAACGTCCAGGTTTCTGCCTTTTGTGCTGATATTTGGTGGTAAACTGTGAGAGACTGTGAATCCCTGCTAGAAGGCAGAAAAAGAGAATAAAGGTGGATAACAATGTAATGCTCTGCTAAACAGCCATTTCTTATCCATGCAGTATGGTGATTCTTGCCGCAAATTTTAGGAGGAACACCCATTTTATGTGGGTGCATGTGTGTGTGAGAAGGCCATCCACACACTCTCATGGGTCAGCAGTCAGCAGTTAAAGGTAAAATAGGGCATTCTAACAGCAGGGAGTAAAAGCAGACAAATCCAGAAAATAACTCCGTATGAGCAGCTTGCAAATCTACACTCAGCTTGACATCTGTGCCGGTAGCCGCAGCTTCAGTTCAGGAGGAAACTTAATAGTGTTTAAATTTCAGTTGTCAGCAGATGAATTATAAGCTTGAAGAATAACGTGTCAATTTAATGATATTTTTTTCTCAACCTTTAGGGTTTCCCTGCTGCTGAATGAAAGTAGGAAACATTCTGTAATGCAGTAAAACCGCTAAGTGCTTTTCCCTTTTTCTCCCCTGCAGGTTCTCATTCAGGCAGAGGATCGAGTTCACCGGATTGGACAAACCAGCAACGTGAACATTCACTATCTGGTTGCCAAAGGAACTGCTGACGATCACCTGTGGTACGTGTCAATCGGGTGGAAGCACGAACCGCCACAATATTAAAACCAAGAGATCTCTGGTGGCGTCCTGCAGCGTTTGGCATCACGACGCTGGCAGTGGATTGTTTTGGTGCTGTGGGTTGCGGGGTGGGGCCTCCGTGGATCGTGCTTTGGAGACTAGGTCAATACTTTGGGTGGTTCCAGAACAGTTTTTTTATGGTGAGGCAGCTCGTATTGGGGAGTGCTACTGCCATGAGGGGGTGTGCTTTCTCTGCAGTAACGTTTAGGGCTCCTGGATCAGCCCCCAATTTGCTTCGACTGGCCACGAGCCACAACAAAGAAGGGAAATGCATCGAGAGTTTTACTGAAAGCTACTGAAATGTTCTGCAAAGCCACTGTGAGGTGTGATAGCAGTGGCTAATGTGTGGAGGCAAACACAAAGAACAGAGCATGCAGGGCTCGGTGGAAGAGAGAGAAGCCTGGCGACGCAACAGGCAGGCCTAAATAAAGTTGGGACACTGGCCAGGTGTACCCAGTTCATGTGATGACATCATGATTTGAAGCTCCGCCCAGTCAGAGACATCGAGCACACAGAACCACAGCAGTCGGCAAAAGTAACATCCACGTAAATACCAGCACAAAAGGCTTCCCAGCAGAACGTTTCATCGTAACAAGATGATTATTCACTTCACCTGCCACTGGTTTTAATGTTGTGGCACATCGGTGTATGACTCAGCTCAAAGGATTATTATTACTATTCAGGCTGCTTCCTCCAGTATTCATCAATCTTTTGTCGGCCGCTGAATCCAAACTGAAACAGCAGGCCGCAGAGTTAATGTGGGCTGACTAATATCCATATTGTGACAAACAGTGAATTAAATTGTATCTGCTCTGCTGTAATAATTTATTTATGTATTGATCCAGGCCAATGATCCAGGAAAAAATGAATGTCCTGGGGCAAGTGGGTCTGTCTGAGTCAAACCTCTCAGACAATGCAGTGAACGCCAGCTTCCACTCTAAGGTAAACTTTGGTTTTGTAAATCAATGATGTGTAATGTGTGTGTTTTTTTTTTTTAAAACAGCATACATGAGACTGCCCAGGACAACAAATCTGCCTAATTGAATCAAACAATGTACGTAGCTTTAGTCTTGAATCTAATTATTTGGCTTTGTCCAGGACCCAAAACAACAGAGCATCATGGAGATGTTCCAGAGATCTTTCTCCGCGGATGACGACATGGACGAAGCCATCTTAATGGAGGCGGCAAACGACTGGGAAGACACGCCGCCTGAAACCACATCTGGTCAAAACCACGGCGGCGTAATGGTTAGACAAAGCCCCAGCAAAAAAAGCATCCAAGACTATTTTAGCAGATGACTTGGAAGACGTTAGCTAATTACATTAACATAATTTTGGTTTGCTAATTGGAACAAGACTTTGTGTCTAGCTTTAAGCCTATCATGACTTATCATTGTTAACATCTTCCTTAGTTATTTTCATAAATGTAAAATAACACTACAGTAAACATATATATATTTTTTGCAAAGAAGAATAAATGAATAAATACGAAACTCATGGCTGTTTTAGAATCCTTCTGAAACCTTAACTGACCGGTTACCACAGGGCCCAGATGGAATTTCCTGAAAGGTTAGATTTAGCTGGAAGAAACCATTTATACTTGAATTCATAAATCCCAGTTTAGTTGGTCCACCAGGAAGAAGCTAATATCTCCAAAAACTCTCGGATGTAACCTTTATAACTTGCTGCTCTCGACTAATTTGGCTCGTGTATGTGGCGAGGCTGGGTTGTTAAGCCGCTGTATCCTGCCATCATTAAGCTAACAGGAAAAGAATATTAGAGCCTAATCACTCCGTTACACTGCCCCATATTCTCCCTCCAGAAGAGAGGGGAGTAACACTCGTATTATTTCAGCGTGGCACTAGTAATTTTTTATAGACAACCTGACAGTGACACACTATTGTCTGATTCACCAACAGCTTCTGTGGACACTGAAATTATCAGTTGCTTTCGGGTGATTATATGATGTAGCTTTTGGCTGGTGATGTGATCCAATACAGCTGTCAAACCGTTACATCACAGTCTAGAAGTACTTCTTGAGTATGTGACCTTGAAAAACCTCTTACAAAAGGTGTAAACATCTTGTCCTTTTTATTATGTGATTCAGAGAATGACAGGCGCTGCGTTGTTCCCATCATGTTACACATTGAACTTATAATCCATTTTCGGCATGCTCTGGATCGCCATTCCCTCCTGTTCGTGGACTGCAAGGATTTGAACTACGTGGGTCATCTGCAAAAATAAAGGAGGATGGTAAAGTATAACTCCTCTGAATGTAAGTGCTGATAACTCACAGCTCAATACCTTCACTGCACAATACTGTCCTGCAATCAGTAAGAGTTTTAGATCGTAATGTTGCACGATTTTGTCTCCTGATACTATTCACGTGTCAACAAAATGAGATCACAGAAAGGTATTGCACATTTGAGCTGCAATTTTCCCCCGCAGCTTTTGTGTGCAGCTGGTCTGACTTATCAAGATTTACTTCATTCTCCGCGCACAGAAACTGTAAGAGCAGTTCACGTCGCAATTCCAGCTGCTGCTCGTGACATTATGAAGATAAGTGGCGTCAGTTTTCTCTGAATCAGGAGAGACGCCTCTGCCCGCTCGTGGAAGCTTTCTCCATTGTCAGTATAAAGAGATGTAACTACTCTCAGTCCACAGGACATCTCACAGTAATTACTGTGTCCCAATTCAGGATGGATCCTCTGAAAGATGCAGCACATACACAGAAGGTCAGGCTGAACCTGTGTCTCGTCCCCAAATAAAATCCCAAGGGCAAAAAGTTGCTCTGTTTTCAGACATTCCCCATCGGGAGTGAAACATTTAGAAGGTTAATGCCGAAAAGTTTCCTCAAGTGGCTGGTGAAGTTTAAATGTCAGAACATGTTACTGAACAGATGGAAAAACTAGCCAATAGCAGATCAAGTTATGCCCATACCATTAACTTCTTCAGTGGAGTTAACGCCTGGTTTTGATTATTTACAACTTAGAGTCTTATTACTGTGTTTTATTTACTGATGACTGACAACCAGTACCTGGTAAATATGTCATATTCAAGCCATAAACTGGTTGTGTTCATCTTAGCAAGCCTTTGAACATCAGCAGACTTTGTTGAGTTGATGTTTCAAAATGCTGATTTTGAAGGTCATAGCTCTTCAATCCAGACAGCTAACATGTCTGGGTCATTCCCTCTTACCTTCATGTTCGTGAATTTCTTCAGTTGAAGCTCTTGACAGTCCTACATGTTCATCTGTAGAGTTGTCTTGCTCTTTTGCTGTGAGAAGTAGTGTTTTTATTTTAAGCTTACATTTTCAGAACTTATTTTAAAATGCTGCAGACAGAAATTTAGTCTCTAGCAGGAATGACCATCAAAACACAAGAACATCAGCACAAAATTGTTATTCGTGTGAAACCAGATGGCGTGACAGATGGAAATGCCTGTCGCACACGTCATACCTGAAATGGTTTTATCAGTCTCTCCATCGCTGGTGAGCTCTGCGTCGGTGCTGATATCACCGAAGATAAAACTGATCTTCTCCTCTGCATGCTGCTCACTGGACGAGCCGTGAACTGAATTGTGGAGGATGTCCGCGGCAAAGCGAGCCCTCAGGGACTGAGGGGAGGTTTCTTTAGCTTTGTCAGGGTCTGTGGGGCCCATCATGGCCCTCCACTCCTCCACTGCGTTTTCCTTGCTCAGGACAAGCATCATACAAGGTCCCCTGAAACAATGACGGGATGTTCGTGTAACAGACAAAGATTAGTTTAATGTCATTGTCTTTGTAATTCCTGGCTAAGTCTGACTTTGCATTTAGACTTCAGACTGTGCTACATGTTGGATTATGTGATGGCTGATGAACCTTAACTCTGTCACTGCTAAAGCATTTAGCACAATCCAGACATGCATGGGACAGAGTGATGCACCTGCACCACTTTCATTATTAAGTCTGGGCATGGTCAGCTATGTATTCCAGTGTGGTCTCCTTTGTTGTTATGGATTTAATTTAGCAATATAATAACATAAAACACAATTTCCATGGTGACACACAATTAAATTACCAATAGTCACAATGGGACACATTCTATTATTAAAATAAGCAGTCTTTGACTTCATCTTACCAGTTAGCATTAATTTGGCAAAGACAAAATTAATTCATTTGACTCCAACCCCGCTGTCCTCTGTTTAACCCATTCAGCTACCACATTCTACTGTCACGCTGAACAACTATTGATTTAAGTGTCAAACTGAAAATCACCAAACGATATTTTGACCAGTTACAGGCAGCAGACAAAATAAACAGCACACATCATCGCCTCTAAGTTGATATGACGAACAGTAGATTATTTACTCATCCAGCAGTTATTGCGCAGTATTATCATTTGTTTGGGGTTATATATGTGTGTGTCTGGTCTTTGTAGCTCACTGTTAGTCTCTGCCATCTCCTAAAATAACAAAATCACTCTCGTTAGCTGCTAAATGATCCCGTTAACAAGCTAGTTTGAATAGTGTCTGTGTGTTGTTTTGTGCTGAACAGGAAGTGTACAGGGGGTTTGTAGGGTTTTCTTCTTGCAGAAACAACTGCCTGCTGATGTAAAAGTAAACAGTAATGTTGTATTATGAAGCTCCATAAAGCTGCAGGAGGTGCAGATTTAGTTTACAATACTGTGAAGTTCAACACTATGCGCAACACCTTACACTTTTTCTTGTATTCTTATAATAGAAAATATCAACTGTAGCCACCCTAAAGAATAAAGTACCACCAGGATTAATCTTCTCACCTTTCTATTAGATGTATTACAGATGCAGCAAAGCACACTTCTAGCCAGACCCGTACAGGTGAACTGGTAAGAGCCAGAGAGGGCAGTAAAATATTTCAGCCTGGTTGGTAAAGTTACTTTTTACGATAAAGTCACAGGAACAAATGTCAAAATACAAAACTACACTTCAAGCTAAAGCTGACATTGAGATACAGTGACAGCAAAGGTTGATGTGGCTGATGTGCCCAGCTGCACCCATCTCTCCGCCCATTGTGTCCGAGCAGTTGTGTAACAACCAAGTGAAGGAGATAATCGGAGCGGAAGATAACGCTATAATCTAGATGTGCGGTGGAACAAAGAATGAAATTGAGATGGACTTCCTAGTCACTTGCCCGAGGCGGCTTCGACTCTAAGCTGCTAAGATTACTGTTAAAAGTGCTGTTAGAAGTTGCACCAGCAATAGGAATTAGGGCTGGACTGCTGTAGTAACTTTGCTCTGCTGCTGCGGCTGTGTTCGGGGACAGACTAACCGACACATGAATTCCACCAGCTGGCTGAAGAAAGGCTTTTCCCTGTGCTCTTTATAAAACTCCTCAGCCATCTCCCTCGACAGCACCGTCTCCTTCAACTGGGTTACAGAGAAACCTCTGCCCCGAATCTCCTCCAAAATCTCCTCTGTCGGAGAGAAGAGAATAAATAATATAAAAATGACATATTACTGAGTGTCTAGACAAACAAAAGTAAAAGTTTAACATTTTTTATGTTGCTCTAAGTGAGGAGAGAGAACCTCTGTGATCCTCCATTGCATCAGGTTTGATCACTGCCAGCGTCCGTTTTTTAGGGAAAAAGAAGTTGATCTCTCGTTCGGCCTCTTCATGACTTGCGCTGCCATGAAGCTGGTTGATGGGCTCATTCTCCACAGCAAACTGGGCCCTTAAGCTGAGCATGTGGGACACAGAAACCTGAATTACAAAAGCATCCTACCCAACAGCAACTATTTGTTTTCCAGTTATTATTTTTGGATACAGTTGTACATGTTTCTTAACTTTTGCTCACTCTGCCTTGTCTTCTTCTCTTTCAGCTACAATTTTCACATTTTTCAAAACTGGCTCTCAAGACATCACAGAAACTCGAGTGAACATGTAACATTGCAGGTGGCCAAGGAGAACGATAACAAAACAAAACAAAAGGATTTTTTTTCTTGTGACTGCACTACTATTGAAAGAGTTATTGAGCTGATTTCTTGTGTGATTGTAGAATGACAGTGCAAAAAGGTAAGCCTCTCCTGTCTAATCAAAGGCTGACAAGGTCAAAAAGACAGATCAAAAGAGGAGCTCTTTCTAACAAGCTGTCAAATAGATGAGCAGTGAAAACTCTATTGGGTTTCTATTGGTAATTAAACCACAGTGACGTCTTTGTTCTCATATGAGCAGCTGAATGACGAGACATCACTCACCAGTCAGGATTCTCCTCTTTAGCTTTATTCATGTCAGAGGGACCAAGGATGTTCTTCCAGTGATGGACAGCATCTGTTCTGGCCAGAGCCAACGCTAACACTGGCCCACTGTAAATACAGGCATGTTAAATGAATGTCTGCAGTATCACTCCAATGTTTTTATTAATAATAGAGCTTGTCAAAGTCACCTGGTCATGCTTTGGAGCAGAGCAGGAAAGTAGCCCTCATCAACATGCTGGAAGTAAAACTGTCTGACCTGCTCCTCTGTCAACATCACCTCTCGTTGGAGGGCTATTGAGAAGCCTGACTTGTGGATTTGGGCCAGGATCTCTTCTGCAAAGTCACAGGTATGAAATAAATGCATTTATAGCTATTTAAACATATAAAAAAAAACTTCTATATACCTGTCATGAAAGTTTGACCAATTTCTCTGCCTTTCAAAGTGTTAACCAAAATTCTGTACCTGTGTCATTCAACAGCCTCGCTAAGGGTATCAAGGAGCAGTCCCACTATGTTATTAAGAACCGTTATTGTGTGTGAATCTGTGCTCGCACACGTGTACTTGTTTTTGGCATGGACCCCACCTCTGTTCTCCCTGGCAACGTCGGGCCGGATGAGAGCCAGTGTCCTCTCCACACGCTCTTCCTCCCCATCCTGCTCCGTTACCGAGGCCGTCCTAAAGTTGGGGAAGAAGAAGGCGAGCTCCCTGCTGGCCTGGTCGCTGTCCTCACTACCGTGCACTGCGTTGAACAGTGTCTCTGTGCCGTATTGTGCCCGCAAGCTGCAGGAAGCCAGGGGGGAGAAAGGAGAGGAGACCAGATGGTTGCTCGGCTGGTGCTCAACCAGAGAGAACCATAATGTTTGGGTGTGTCTGATGGAGCAGGCGAGAATGTGCTGTTCATTCCCTTTTCCAGACTTCAGCCTGAGATTGTTTCACACTGTTGCAATCAACAGTGCAGAAATAAATGTGTACGCTGTAAACAAATGTTTCTCTTTACAAAGACGCAGGAGTGATAATTCCATGATACCTTTTAGCTTTGAATGACCTTGCTGGTGTTTTCTGAATGGAGTACGCGTGTTATTTCCAGTAACTAACCTTTCTGGCTTTTCTCTTCTGGCTTCCTCTATGTCTGCAGGGCCGATGAACTCACGCCATGCGGGTACAACGTTAGCTGAGTCCTCTGCCTGAGAGAGTACCAGAATATGGGAGGGACCACTGGACATAAACTGCACCAAGTCCTCAAAGCAGGTCTGCAAACAGCCGTCATATACACAAACAGAGACAGAAACAGAAACACAATAATGCACTGAATACATAAACTCTGGAAACCTTCCATGCCTCATAGATATATATGAGATATAATATGAGGGGGTTTATCTCTCAAAGTCATCCAGGTAATTCAGTAAACCTTCTTGGAAGAATTCTTGGAGGAGAGAAAATGCAATAAACACACTACAAGCAATGTACATTTTTATCAATAAATGAATATTAACGCTTTATCTGGCCAGATTTTCCTACATGCTTTGTATTTCTGAATCTCTAACAAACTGGCATCATCACACGATAAGAGTACAATAAGAGCACGATAAGCAAAAAAAAAAAAAAAGCTGCTTACACAGCAACTCTATTTTGAGCTCCGTGCAGAAATGCAGATGGATGTGTAATGTATTGCAAACTAACTGAAATGTTTTTGCGCTGGTCGTGACTGCTCTGCCGTTAGTATGTTGAGTCAGAATATTAATGCTACTGACAAATCTCACAAACATTCAGTACATCATCATCCGTTTTCCTCAGAGTATGCAAATCTGTGCAAAAGGCAGCTGTCTGTCAGAAGTATCGTCTTAATACAAATATGCATTACATGTGCCTTCTCGTATTATCCTTTACTATCCTCTTCCGTTTCATTTGCGTCACTGTAGCATACCTCTGCTGCTTTGTGCTGGTAAAAATCTCGAGCCTCGGCCTCAGTCAGGGTGCGTTCCTCTTGGGCCAAGATCTCAAACCCAGCATCTTGCATCTAGCCAAGGGAGTAAGTGTCAGCGTAATGAATTAATGTCAGCAGGAAGGCTTGAGACAATCTTGTCTTCTCAGAATGTGAGCAGTGTTAGTCTCTGTGTACCTTCATAATGATCTCATTTGCCTTGCCGTGAGCAACAGCATCTGGTTTAATGATGGCAACTGTGTAGGATTTACTGGCAGGAACTACAGGAGAAGAAAGGAGCTTGAGTGATGATCAGTAACGCTGATAAAATGCAAAACGATACCGTAAATAACAATCGTAATCGCAGTAACGACTCTGTGCTGGTAATAATGTCAGTGCCAAAAAAAATTTAAGATGTACTATATTATATTGTTTCCACAGTACCAATGATGCTTTCTTTATTTTCTAACAGCTGAGGCGTCTCCTCCTCTTCTTTGTTCTCCTTATCCACTAGACCTTCATCTTTAACCTGACAGACACAATAAAACCAAATCAAAATACTGAATCCCTTAACATGGCTGATTTAAAATGTGGCTCTTCTGGCAACCCACAGTGGCTTCTACAAACTGTTCCAAAATCCACTGATATTCAATCACATAAGACAAAGAAAAGCAGCAAAGGCTTGCATTTAATAACCTGGAACCAGAGAACGTTTGTCATCTTTGCTTGGAATATCACTTAATCATCGGGTCTCTTTACTTATTATATCAGAAAGCAGATGGACTTGGCAGCAGCTTAGTTGTGTATGCTGATTTGTGCCAGGACCCTTATTACCTAAGTGTGGCTGTCTGTCCAGCTTATTTGAACTACTTAAGCTACTAATACATTTACATAAAGACAAAATAACTGGAAAAAAAAAGAAGCTTAATGAGCTCAGTAGTTATCCTTTCAAATCACACTCATTGGATACCTTCAGATTGTGACAGCGCCAACACAGTCAGCCTTCGATTCAACAAGGACATCTATTCATTTTGATTTTATGTTAGCAGGATTATACCACTGAGGGGCTTCTGACTTGTGTTTTGTTGTCTTTGAGTTGTGTCTTTGTGTTTGTTATAAATGTTCAAAACAAAAACAAGGAAACAACAAAAAAAAAAGATCAGTTGTCAAGCTAGCTGCTGATTTAGCTATTGCTGACTGATTAATTAATTGATGAATAAGTCTTTTTCACAGAAGTCATTTTGACATAACAGAAATGAAAACACGTGTGAAGAGCAAAATTAGTTGCTTAAGTTTCAGGGTACTAGCACTGCATACACACATAGAGCTGCAACAATTCATTGATTAGTTTTCAACTAATAAATGAATCTGCAATTATTTTGATAGTGGATTAATCAGTATTTATTAAGAAAAGAAGTCAAAATGTTCTGGTTCCAGCTTCACTAATTTGAATACATTGTGGTTTCTTTACTCCTCTATGACAGAAAGCTAAATATTTTTAGGTTGTGTACAAAACAAGACATTTGAGGACATCATTTTTGGCTTTGGGAAACACTTCCTTGTCATTTTTCACCAGTTTCTGACATTTCACAGATGAAACAGTTAATTGAATCATCAAGGAAATAATCAACAGATTAACTGACAAGGGAAATAATCGTTATTTGCAGCCCCGCTGTCACACTGCTGTGTACTTCGCACAGCACCATTGTTAATGTTATTACCAACACTTGTGCGTTCCCAGCTCATGACAAGTCACGATGCCCTTTTGCGAAACCAGCCTATTGTTTCAGTCTGAGTGAGTGGATAACTGCGTGTGCATGTGTCCTGCTGCTCACCGCTTTCCGTTCACCACCTTGTTCCAGGACCAGCTTCTCTTTTGCCAGCTCCTCCACAATCATCCTCTGAAGCATGGGAGCATTTGCCCCTCTCAGCACAGCCACCAGCTCGCCTCCCTGTTCATTCAACACAAGCCTGGCAATGTTTAGAAGCTCTAATCAATTTTAACCCAGCAGGCGAGACACCGAGGTGCCACAGAAGCCCATGTTCGCCGTCCTCGGATGCTAAATATCCAGGAGTCAGTTAGCAAAAACTTCAGGAATAAAAGAAGGAACAGAATGTTGCATCACCACAACACAAGTTATGACTCTAGGTGGCCATACTTTCTGGCCTACAAGATTAGTGCCTCTGAGCCTTATAGCGTCTGAATTGAAAGAAAAATATTCATAGAGGAGAAAAAAAAATAGAAATAACGGTAACACTTTATACTACAGTCAATCATTTCTGTGTAATTTCGCTAATAAATACTTGCTGGTGCCAACTGATACTTAAGCGTACGGACAGATTTATGCAACGAAATTACACTGGGCTGTATAATTCTATTACTGTCTAAAGGACAGAAAGGCAAAACTCACAGCTCTGATAGCTCATACTGAAATATTAACAGACACTTACTGTCCAAACAGGCCCACACATTTACTGTACACATCCACTCACCCCATAGAATAGGAAGGTGGGCTCACATTTCCCCCGATACTTCTCCAAAGCATCGATGCTGTCGGCCTCGACCTGCACACAAACACATATACACGTTAAAATGTGCAAATTTTGGTTTAAAATTTTTAAAATCTTCACATTTTAAGCGGGCTAAGGGCTCACTGTGGCGAAATGCAGAAGGTCATCACCCAGTTCGTTCTTTATTTTTCGTAGGAGGCTGACCACAGCTCGACAGGGGCCACACCACTGCTGGTACACATCTACAACTGAAAGGTGACAGTGTTTGTGTTTGTGTGCATGAGAGAGAACTAAGAAGCCAGAGTGGAAAGGTGCAAGCATTTGATGTGCAGTTATCCCAGTGAACACAGTGGGGCAGCAGAATACAATAAATAACCATCACAGTGACAGAGCTCATTCACAGACTGTTTACTGAACAAGTGCACAGCAGCAATAAATACTGAAGTATTTTTCTTTTATTGGGACGATGACAACTCTATGTCCTCTTACGTTCATACCTGTTAACCCCTTGGTTGCGAGCATCTCCTCCCACTGTTCTTGGTTCGTGACAGATGCCTGGACAAGTAAAGTGAGTTAAAATCAGCTAATAAAATAAAACTAAAACATAGAAGCAATTTGACACAATTAGTCCCACCTGTAGGCTTGCCTCTTTCTTCTTGCCTGCCATTTTAGTCCTCCGTCAAAATGAATAATAATATATCTAAAAATGCTAAGCTACACACTGAAGAAAGTTTAATTAGCTGAGATGCTAACACGCAGTAGCTAAGATGTTGTCTGACGCTGCTCGCGCTTGTTTGGCCCCGTGGTTGCTAGGCAACGCGTTTCCCGGCAGCCCCCCCCGGAAGCGCGGATCTATTAACGGACTGTTTGTTAACTTGTGCTGACGCTGTTAATTAATGTCACAGCGGGTCATATTTTCTTCCTGCTACGTTCATATTGGCACATAGCAGTGAAAATTACCTCAAAGTGGGAGCTCACAACTCTTCTCTTCTGCTCTCTCATCCAACTTTTCGGCATCTTTTTATTTATTTATTTATTTATTTATTTCCTCACAAGTGCAGCTCTGCAGTAAAACCTCTCCCCAGGTGGGTCGCTGTTAAAACCTACTGCAACACAAGAAACACAATCTTACCTCTGTGCTACCGAGACTGCTTTATATTATATATTTATGTTAATAATTTACCTTATTGTTTGCCCATAAAAATACAATTATTATGAAATATGTGCACACTGAAACACTCAGGGTTGGAAGAAGTATTCAGATCTTTTACTGGAGCAGCTAAAAGCCCTCTAAAAATACTCCATTACAAGTAAGATTCCTAATTGATTATAAGTGTACAAGCGTTACAGAGTTATTCTACTATATATGTGTTTATATGCAGTTTTACATAAAAGGTCAACAGATAAATCTGAGGAGATGTGAGATGATCAATGATAGAGAAAGGAAGCAAAAGCAAAGTTCCAATACAAAATGTGTTTTTAGTTTCCGGACTGTTTCTCTAATCTTGGTTTGTAATCTACATGTTTGATCATTTGAGTATTTATTATAGTGAAACCATGCGAGAAGTTTAGAGGGAGAAATCACTATTCTAAGGAACTGTTACCTTCTGAAATGTGACCTTGACTCCACATTGATTTTTTTGTAAGTCAAAAGGGTTGAAATCCACTGGTTTAATATTTAACCGTGTGCCGTATTTTACAAGCTTATTACTTTATCAGTTGTGTAAAATCTTTATCGGAAAAGTAACTAAAGCAGTGGAGTAGAACGTACAATATATTCTACTGAAATGTAGGGAAGTCACATAAAACCTAGTCAGTAAGTACCTCAAAATTCTAGTTCATGAATAAATATCCTCAGTTACTTTCCACCGATGCTTTTATTCACATTTGTATAACCTACTCAGATATAGTGTTTTTAAAAAAAAGCTTTTATAGGGATATGTTACACTTATGTACACCTCACTGACACTAGTATAACTTTTGGGGTTCCACCTGGTTCTATTCTGGTATCTGTGTTGTTCAGTCTTTATATATTACCACTCAGAAGTCATTTTTTCATCACCCAATAATATCTGGGAAGCCGCTTTATTGCACTGATCATATTAACTTGTCGATGTCACATTTTTTTTTTGCAATTTTATTAATTTATGGTTTAATTTAGGTTAAGCTGAGGTATTAATAATTCGAGCAAAGGCTCAGAGAGAGATACTGAGCAATAACTCAAAATCTCTAGCGCATAATGCCAAGCCCTTTCAGAAAAATCAGTCTTTTTTTTTCTATACCCTGATTTGAATTTTGAATCTCATAACAGTAAAAATGCCTTTTACCTTGTCAGAAATATTGCCAAAGTGGGACCGTTTCTCTCCCAGGCAGATACTGAAAGACTCATGCATGTATTTATCAACAGCAGCCTTAATTACCGCAATGCTGTCTTTACTGGTCTACCTAAAAAGCTATAAATAAGCTACAGGTCATTCAAAATGCAGCAGCACATGGACCAAGAGCAGAGGGAGAGCTCACACCACACCTGCTCTAACACACTTTTCACTGGTCTCCTGTCAGCTTTAGAGTAGATTTTAGGATCCTTTTATTGGTGTTCAAATCACTCAGTGGACTCGTGCCTGAATACCTGCCAGACATCACGCTAAAGCAGGGAAGCTGGTTTGCCTGGCGGCCACTTTTTGCAGAATGATGGGAAGCCAGAGGCCAGTTAAGAAACAAATTATATTTATCTTCTTTTCATATTAATTGAGTAACATTCAAAGGATATCGTTGAACATTTAGCAGAGAAAAAGTCTAATTTATTTCCATTGCACATTTGTCAGTGGGTATCCTAATGCAGGCCTGATTTTGCCCACAGGCCATAAGTTGAGTATTTCTGTCCTTTAGTATCGTTTAGGTCTCCTGACAGCGGCCTGTTAGTTGTTCCCAGGCTGAGGACAATAAAATAAAAGGAAGCGGCCTTAAATGTTCTCGGTCCTCGCCTCTGGTGCAGCCTGCAGAGGATCCGAGGTCGCCACAATCTGTTTACATCTTTAAAAGAAACCTCTAGACATAGCTTTTTGGCTCAGCTTCCTCTTCATCCGTTTCTTTTATTTTGCATCCTCTCTCTTCTCCTGTGTATCATCCTTCTACTGTTTCAACACCTGGCACTGATATTCTGCATGAAAGGCGCCACATAAATACAATTTGATTAGATTTGATTGACCTTTCCTGAGAAAAAAAAAAAACAAACCTCAAGGCCAGATAAACTGAATAAACACAATAATGTTAATGTTATTCAAGCTTCTTTGTGTGCTGCTGCGGTAGACTAAGATGATCTTGACCCTGCAAATACAGCGTGTGGAAAACCAATCACTTTCCTCTCTACCTAAACCGTCTCATGTGAGGCAGAGAGGATCATGTCCCTGGAGCAAAAAATGAGCCTGTGACCTCCCTCCATACCGCTCTGCGTGAGCTGTGTTTGTACCCAGTTTACTCCAAGTACCCATCAAATAAAGGGCACAGTGCAGCCTGCACATTGCAGCCTATATTTTACCTAAAACCCCCAAAACCAAGCCACAGACCAGTATAAGGATTTTCTGCCTTCTGTTATATTAAACTCAATATCTTTGGGTTTTGTGCTATCAAATGCTTGTCATATTATTTGAGATAATTAAGAACAAACTGAAGTGATGTAGTCTTGATCGCATTTTTTTTTCTTACCAAAAATGCTGAGCTGCAGACTAAACAAACAATAGATGTGGGTCACTACCCGACAGGGAGGGACAAGCTACAGATACAGTAGAATTGCATAATTGGTAGTGTTTTTGTAGGTTGTCTCTGCCTCGCTGCAGCAATCCTCACTGTTCTTTCTCCTCCAGCCGTCACCTAAACTTTATGGAGGTGGAATACTAAATCACTTGAGCACTCCCTCCTCTAAGCACAGATTTATCTTACAACGTTCACCTTGCAGGTGCACTGTGCAATTATTAAATGCATCAAAAATGAGCTTTTTAAACATCGCCCCCTAGCCTTCATGTCTGCAGTTGTAGGCCCTGGCATTTTAATCATACTCCTTGTAATTGCAGGTTGTCACTGAATGTGTTACTGAACTTTTTGCAGGCTCAGAGCTCAGACTGACACTCAAACCTCTTCCTCGTCTTCGTGTAAAGATGTAACTGCTTTTCCTGGTGTATTTGTGAGGAAAGACCAAAGCAATAAAGTCGAAAAAAAATTGGCACCGGCGTCGGAGCCCTCGTACTTTCTTACTCCGTGCCATCCTGACGCCTCGCAGAGGTTACCCTCCAACTGTAACGTTTTATTTGAAAGTGAAATAGGTCCTCTAAAGAGATCAGACCACTTTTGCATGCTCTTCCCCCATGAATTTCAATGAACTGCTGCACTTAAGCGGTTCGGCTTCACAGCCTCCTCCTTCACAAAGTGGGCCCAGAAAAACAAGCCTTACAATTGGAGTAATTTCGTAAAAGGACAAATTACAGTGCACTGTGACAATAAGCGAGAAAGAGAATTATAAAATGAGACAATCAAAAAAAAGAAATGTCAGGGTCCTTTATGTTATCGACAACAGCTGTACTGTTTGCTTTGCTCCCACTGAGCTGTATGTTCCGTATGACATGCTTTTAATAGCAACCCTCTGTCTCGCTCTGAGCTCATTATGCGGCCAGATGGGAACAACAATCACCTCCCCTCCATCATGGAAGCTGTGACAAGGTCCTGACACGGCCCTTGCCCACAGACATAAGATTCATACGTTGCGTAATCGGCAGTTGTGTGTTTTTGTGCTTCTTTTCATCAGCGAGATGCGAGGAAGTGATTGCATTTTATTGTTCTATCAAGTCAATAAGAAACATTGATTTGATGCTTTTGTCCCGTGTGCCCAATTCAGATATTGACCTTTGTGTCAATAAATGTCATCAGTAAAGACTGCTGCTGTCGCCTGCGTGCAGTTGACTGTATGACGAACATGCTTCTGCAAACTGGAGCGTGATTTTTCTGCGCCAGGAGAACGCAGCGAGGGAGGCTTGTTGGAATGTATAGACTCTATCTCCTTCAGCGCTGTGAAGCTGAGCTGATCACCACGTCAATGTGGCACATGTTCAGAGGAGGAATGGACGTAGTCACTTAAAATTAATATGTTGTCATGCCAGTGGTGAGCAATCATGCTTTGAGATTTCAGCTCAAATATTCTTCAAAAGAATGTGGAAGCCAATTAAATTTTAACTAAGGACTCATTTAGGCTGCTCGTGCAGTTACTGACAAACCTTCATGCATCTGTCCACTTAAATTATATCTCAAAAGGAGATTTTATTAATTTTTTGGATGTTTTCGCTCCGAAACATTGTATTTCAAAAACATTGAACTACCTCAAATAAAAGGAGTTTAAATCCAACAGTACTTCACCGCTGACCTTCGACTGAATTCAAAGAAACTCTCGCTGCTGAATGTCTTTTTATTTGACAGGCTGTGAAAGTCTTTGCTTTAAGTTGGATACCATGCTAATGTTACAGGCTGCTGTGGTACAATACAGGTCATTTGCCTGTCTCTCAATAGACCTTCAGTCCCCATGTGGAATTATAAAAAAAAAAAAAAAAACCCTCCACTTATCATCTTCCCTGGTGTATTGCTGTTAATCTCTCCTCCGCGATGAGAGACACAGTGGATTTGAAGCTACC